TGCTCAGGCTGGGATTGCCAGTCAGGCACTGCAGGTCTCTGTCCTTCAGGGCATGCAGGTGTTTGGAGAAAAAAAAAAAAAAAAAAAAAAAAGGGGGAAATATTCAAACCCTGCACATTTTAAAGACTATTCAGAGCCAGAAAGCTCAGGGGTTTTTGTGGTGTTTTGGGATGGAAACCACTTACTGTCTGACTGCAGGGCTTCCATAGCAGGCAGTGGCTGTGCAGCAGCCCCACACCCTGTGACAGGAACACTGTCACAGCCTGTCACAGCCCAGTGGTGCTCCTTTGCATGGGCTGTGTGAGGATCCAGCACAGCCCAGGCAGAAATCCAGCCCCTCCTCAGCAGCACTGGCACCTGGAAACACCACCAATCCACTCGGGTATGAGATGCTCAGGGAGCCTCATCACTTGTAGGCTCCCAGCATAATTAGGTTCCACATTTAAATCTCTGCTGGATATCAGGAAACAAGCATTTGCCTTGCCTGTCAAGCACCATCAGCTCCCAGCTGCCACCAATCATGCCACCACGTTTTACAAGGTTCTTTTACACACAACTGGTGGAATTTGTTCTTGCTCAGATATCAGAATCATCAGAGTCATCTCACCACCTCCCACCCAGCACAGCACCTCATGGGCACTCCTCCATGGGCTTGAGCTTGGCACCAAGAGGCAGCCATGCCCATGCTGCCAGGGCCAGCACAGCACGGGGTGCATCCCAGCAGGGCCATGCTTCCAGCAGGCAGGCTGCTGGGAGCTCTGGGAGCACATCCTCTGTCTAAGGACAGGGGGGAAAGCCCCAGGCTGGTGGGGGCACAAAGGAGCCATGTCCAGCCAGAGGAGCAGCAGGGTCCAGCCTGTGTGCCAGCAGGTTGGGTATGGCAGTTCCAGAGAAAAACGAGTTCCCACTGTCTGCCCTGCACCCACTCCACACCTGAGCCACATGGCTCTGCCTGTATTTTAGGAGTTCCCAATGAGCTCATCATAAAGCTTCATAATTAGTGTTTCAAAATGAATTACAACAGCCTGGGATTCTCCTGAAGACAGTAATAGCTACAAGGAAGAAGCCAACCAGCCATTAGGTAGCACACTACAAACAGTGCTCTCTCCCCAGCCTTTGATGAAGTCAAGTGGTTCTGCCCTTTTACTATTATGCATTGCAAATTGAAAGTGCCAGCAAGAACTCCTGGCTTTGGTGCCCAGAGCAGAGCTCCAGCTGCCATGCCCAGTCCCCCCAAGGTGCAATGCAGCACAGAAATCTCCCCTGTGCTTAGACTGAACCAGGCCACCCTTCCCCACACAGCTTCTTGAGGGTATAAGCCACATTTGATAACAAAAAAAGACAGTACCAGATGCTGTAAGCAGGGTGTGGGGTTCCTGCTGTTACTCACCATGTGCTGAGCTGTTCAGACAAACAAAAGAGCAGGTTGGGTCAAACACAAGAACTTCCTCAAGTGAACTGTTCTCACAGGTCAGAATCGTTAAAGGGATTAAATCCAGAAAACACTGACTTGCTGCAGTGTCTGCAGGGCTCCCTGCACCCAGGCTTTCCAATGCCCTGCACTGCAGTCTCTAACTGCAGACCTCCACAGTTTCACTCACCCCCATGGCCAGCGTGGCCCCAGCTGAATTTAAGCACTCATTGTAACAGGTTTAATTCTTAACTGAAAGAAATGTGCAACACAGACCAGCTTGGGTGAACATCCAGAAACCATGAGATTGCCAACGGGCAAGTATCAGCTCCAGGCTGTAGTGCTAGAAACTTACCACAGGCTGGGCAGAAAGACACAGCCTGTTTGAAAAGAGACTTTGACAAAGCAAGCCAGGTCCTCTCTTCCACCTCTCATTTGAATTAAACAAATAGACCAAGTCCAGGCAGAGAAAAAATCCAACAAAATGATGTCGTTAGCTCAGCAGAGTTGATTTTTAGACTTCCTGCATTTGACTTAAAGTAAATCAGGATTTTATGTTTTTATTTTTAACTCTGTTCTCATTTAAAAACTTCGGTTAGTGACAGGATAATTGTTAACAGTTTGAAGATAACATTTAAAAGTGTTCCTAATAATGGCAGCATTTAGGAAGGAATTACACTGATACCTTTTAAACCTGAAAGCAAGTGATTTCCCAGCTATGACTGCTCTCTTCACACAGCATTTTGTCCTGGCAAGGACAATCCAGCTTGAGTTTGGTACAGAAAGCAGTTGGAGAAACAGAAGTGAAATCCAGAAGTTTGTTTTCATTATCTAAACTGAAAGAGCACAAGAAATGAAATTATGTGAATAACTGCTGTGCCACTTGACCTTTTTTCTTTCCAGTGATTCTCTGGAGTTTTTTTTTGGCTGTCCAATTGCTAAGTCATTTGTAACAGGGCTCTCCTGTCCTACCCAGGCTTGGGTACCACCCTGCAGCATGCATGGGCAGAAAAGGACACAGCACCAGCACCAATTTCTCCAGTGAGACGTGCCAGACCAGATTTTTTGCATACCACAGCAAAGCAGTTCACCACCTGCCATATAACACCATCCTGCAACTCACATTTTTTGAGCTCTAACAGTGCCTCATTTTTTCCAAGTCAAAAAGAAACCCGCTGGCCAGTTCAGCACTCTTCAGACTGATGAGTAAATTGCTTTTTCCTTTAATGAGCAGCTGGGCTGCTGCAACAGCACTGCAAGCTTGGCCCGTGGTTCCAGTGTGTGCCCCTTCAGAGCAGAGCTGGGCAGGGAGCAGGGGCAGCAGCAGCAGAGAACACTGACAGCTGTCAGACCATTGTGAGCACCTCTAGGGAGTGGGAACACCGCCTTCCCCACCCCTCAGCCCTCCACAGCTCTTCACACACAGCAGAGCAGGAAAGATTAAATCTGGTATGAGCAGCCAGGGGATGGGAGAGCCCAGCCAGCACCTTCACTCCTCTCCTTGTCCCTGGCAGCACTCGGTGCCTTGAAGCAAGCCAGGATTCTGCAGGCAGAGGCACGCTGGGGCCCAGCAGAACCTGCAGCAATTGCTCATCTTCAGAGAGGATGAGCCTGCTGCATCCACCACAGTGCTGGAGAGCCAAAAGCTGCCCTGAGGATTAGACACAGCCTTGTACTGAAACAGCAGCTACTCCCCTTCTGCATTCAAAGGAAGGAACAGCAGCATCTTGCTTCCCTCTTGTGAGGCAGAAAAGCAGATGAGCAGCAGTTTTCAATTGAGAAATACATTACTTCATTCAAATAAACTGTCAGGCTGAAACTGAAATAGTTTTTTTTTTTTTTTAAAAATCACAAGTCATGCAAATGTAAGTTAGTCTGAACTGCCCTGAAATCAATAGGGCTCCAGTGATTGAAGTCCTCCTCTTCAATCCTACATTCCCATGTCAGCAGAGAGCAGCTCAGGGAGCATGGCTCTGGCTAGGATGGGCAGCTACCCACCTGTGCCAGGTTCCAGGAGCCTGGGCTGTGCCCCCTGATCTCAGGGGACTGGGCACAGGCTCCCAGCAGACCAGAGCAGCCTGGTATTGCCACTGCAGAGCTACACTGCAGCCTTCTGACTCAGCCTTGCAGCTTTCCTGGCTCCTAGAAAGCCCACTCCCAGCTTCTCCCAAGCCAAGAAAGACTGGCAGATAGATGCTCTTCAAGCTGCACTTTGGAAAGGGTCAGGTTTACACCAAAAGCTGATGTGACTGTTAAAGGACATTTCCAGGCTGGGTTTGTTGGGGTTTTTTTCACTTTTCCAGAGCACACTGTAGAAGCCAGCATAAATATCCTCTCTGCTATTGTTTTTGTGGAGCCTGCCAGATCAGATTACACTGAAAATCAAGATACAGATATTTTATCTTTGTTCTGTTTGGCACAGGAGAGACATTTGACCTCTGTTTAGAGCATTTCTTGCCCTGTCGTTCCCCATGCTTTTCATACATCCCTCTAAGCATCCCATGTTTTAGAAACTACTTTCAGCTCCCAGGACCCACCAGCTCATTCCCACTGTGGACAAAGTTTCAGGCTCTGCAGCCTCCTGGATGACTGCAGGCAGATACCCAGAGCACTCAGCTGCCATCCCTGCAGGAACTTGAGAGAGGAACTGAACCCAGTCCTGCACCATGGACTGCTAATCCCTTTGCTAAGAGGAGGCAAGCTGGAGTTTAGAGAACTGGAAGTTGGAGAACAAGCAGACGTTTATTCAGAGCCAGCAGCATGAGGGGGAGGACCACCAGCTCCTTCCTGCCTGCGCGGGACTTACCGTCCCTGAATGCCCCTTTTTGTCCTTGTCCCCACATCTGGGGCCGGCCAGCACAACGCTGCTCTGTCCAGCACGGGGCTGTGGCTGCTGCATGCCTGCCTCAGGGCCCAGTGGCCAGCAGAAGGAGAAGCAGGGTGGCCACTGCCAGCCACAGTGACGCTGACCTGGCTGCCAAGAGGAAGTTGGCTGACACTGGACTTGCAGCTTTAACAGGCATCAGAGCCCCCAGCTTGGAGACAGGGGCATGAGACCAGCCTTTAAAATAAGAGTAAAGCCCAACACCCTCAAAGAGCACAGCTGCTTAGTAGGACTAATCCAGGAAGATTGAACTCCACCAACACATTGCACAGTTGTCATCATAACAGGGACCAGAAACTTCAGTTTCAGTAAAAAAGCATGCAGGTGTGAGAGAAGCAGCAGCAAGTCTTGGCAGAGAAGAAACAAGAGCTCTGTCACTCTCTACAGCAGGAGCAGCTCCCAAAGGAGCCTAATTGCACCCACCTATGTTAGTAAACTTTGGCCTACAAAACCACCAGGCTGCTTCCAATCACGATGGTGAAGATTGATCTTTTGGATGGGATTTCCCACTCAGGTTGTGTTAGCTCTAGTTTGGACTGCAGGACTGCATTGGAGACTGGTACCAAACTGCTCTGGTGCTCCACAAATCCTTGACTCAGGTCAAAGCACCAGCAATACAGTGAATATAAACGAATGCATCCAGGTAACCACCAAAACACTCACTGGCTGAGCACCAGCACCCGTCCGATCTAATAATCAGAAAGGTTTTTTAAAATAAAAATACTTAACATTTATTCACCTTTGAAGTCACCATAGTAAAATTGTACACGTTGTGAGTAACCCAGGAACATTATTCAAAAGCTACCAGAAACATAAGGCAATTTGTACAACCATTGAAAGAAATACACAGCATTTTGAAAACAGAGTGAAACATTACTAAAACAAGACAACGCTTGATACACACTAGAGTGACAAGAACCAGCATTAAGTTTTAAACAAAAATAAAGATGTCATGGCTACAAGTATTATACAGTGATAAATACTTCAAAAATATATTAAGATATATGGAAATTCTCACTTTGCAAGGGAAATCCAGAGAAATTCCAGCCTTCACTGGATTTCAATATACCAATTAAGGTTTAATATTTAAATTCTTTTCCTTTCAGTAGGAACCAGTACTGCAGCCATTACTGTCCTGTATCAATACTTACCTTCTTGTAGTGTAATGAATTCAGCCTTATGTTACATTAAGCCCTAATGCCTCTAGCATCACAGGCACCAACTGCCCTAAATCAACAAATGAGTTGCCTTTTGATTACAAGTGCTGTGCACCACGTTTGAAGCCATAAGCCACGTTAGATCACAGTCAACGTTCGCTCACTTTACAGCATTAATGAACGCGGGTTCCAAACTTGCCTCCACGTAAATAAGACGTCTCGAACAGAGGGTTTAGTAGCAAGCCCACCATAATGTTTTCCTAGCATAACATCAAGCACTCAGAAGTTACAGTACATGAACCATGCTAAAGTTTAGGTTACACCTTCAAAAAAGGAAAGTCCAGAGGATGTTTGGAGACAACAGGCTTTGAACATGCACAAACAGTGCTCTGGCACGCATCTGTTTGTGCCGTTACTGGGTAGCGAGTGAAGCAGTTTATAGCCAAGGATTTGGTGAGGCAGTTTTCTGAGCCAGTTTAAAAATATAGACTTCTTCTTAGAGGGTCTGTTCTATAGAAAATAAAGTGAAATCTGGTAAATTGTCAGTTTTGAGAGTACTTTTCCCTCGGCAAGATGCGCTCGTGGGCCTACCGCACCAAGAGGAAAGCCAAGCCCGCCATGCCGATGCCCGCCGCCGCTGCCATGATGGCGTTGCCGATGGTGCTGCTCTGCTCGCCCGCCTCCGAGCCCTGTCTGCCGAAGAAGCGACAGAAGCCATCCTGCAACAGCAACAGAAAGGACACTCAGCTGCTTAGCTTGCAGTTAAGTGGATCTCCTCAACAAGCCTTTGGGCGCAGCTCCGTCCTCCCCGCTCAGCCTCTGTCAGCTGCAGAAGTCTATATTCCACTCATGGAAGTCTAAACCCTTGGGCACAGGCAAAAACATTTTGTGAGAGCTTTTGCACAAGGCAACAGAAAGGAGTAGCTACAAGTGCTTGCATACTTAGCTCCAGAGGTAATTGGACACTTCCTATTGAGATGCTCAGTGTGTCATTACATATTTTTGCCCTTTTAGGCAAGTTTCTGATGGAAGTTGTCAGCACTGTTCCTCCTACTTTAAAGTTTCAGAAAGCATCTAAAACACAGGATATGGAAATTTCCACTTTTTGAGACAGGAGGCCAAAACCAGTCCCATCTCGGTGGATGTGGGACTGATTACACACTCTCTTGGAAGGGCCGGGTGGACACTGCTCAGAGCTGACCTATGACAGAGCAAAGCTGGCAGCTGCTCTCCCAGATCATTGTGATAATCAGAAGTGGCAGCAATACAACTCCAGATGGTCGTATTTGAACTCTGCTCCGCAGATGTCTATGTAAACAAGTTATACTCTTAATTTCTTCCGGAACTTTGTTCTTTACACTTTGATTAGTGCGAACAGGCAATAAGACTTTGCCGATTTTGCCAAGTGACAGTGTTCTCTGCAGCCAACCACCACATTGTTCTGAGTGGCCAGATGGACCAGTGACCACTGGAAAACCAAGTTCATTTTGGTCTCTGGAAAAGCCAACAAAACCAGTGGCTACTTCCCCTCCTTTCTATTTTTAGTGCTTATTTGTACTGACATAAAGTATTCCACTAGGACTGGAAATAGGAAATGAGCAGTTTTGTGGGATAGCTGACATTTTGTTCAGAAACGCAGGCAGAGCTGCACCAACGCCTTAAAAGCTGTACCTCCAAGCATGAATCTCTGGGGCCAAAATGCCCACGCGTTCCTCCCCAGGCCCGACCTGACCGGCCTCGGGACAGACAGGAACAAGAGCAGCAGGTCTGGAGGCTGGTGCCTTAACACGCAGGTGTACTCAACAACAGGCACAGGTTTGTGCACACACCTGGGAGAGGACCTGTGCCAGCCTGCTCGCCGCAATCCACGGGCTGTGGACCCGAGGGGAAGGCAAACCTCGCTCCCTCACCCAGCAGCATCACTCCTGCGCTATCAGGAGGCTGCATCCCAACGGGGCCATGCGCGGCCACCCGGAGGGAGCTGGCTACGCCGCAGAACCGGGGCCGCAGGCACCCCAATGGCCCAGCGAGCACCCACCGCGTGTGGCGATGGGCAGCAGCCCTCAGGGACACACCGCGTGTGGCGATGGGCAGCAGCAGCAGCCCTCAGGGACACACCGCGTGTGGCGATGGGCAGCAGCCCTCAGGGACACCGCGTGTGGCGATGGGCAGCAGCCCTCAGGGACACCGCGTGTGGCGATGGGCAGCAGCCCTCAGGGACACACCGCGTGTGGCGAGGGGCATCAGCCCCTAGGGACACACCGCGTAGCGATGGGCATCAGCCCTCGGGGACACACCGCGTGTGGCGATGGGCAGCAGTCCCCGGGGACACCGCGTGTGGCGATGGGCAGCAGCCCTCAGGGACACACCGCGTGTGGCGAGGGGCATCAGCCCCTAGGGACACACCGCGTGGCGAGGGGCAGCAGTCCCCGGGGATACACCGCGTGGCGATGGGCATCAGCCCCGGGTGCACGCCCATCGCCGGCAGTAACCCGGGCACGTCTCCCGCCGGGACGAGACGCTGCACGGAGCAGCGGGCTGCCCTGCCCCGCTGAGGGGCCGAGGGTCCCGGCACCCGCCCCAGGCCGCTCCCCGCCGCCCCGTCCCCGCTCACCCATCCGCCGTGCGCCTCCAGCCACTCGCCGCGCTCCTCGGCCAGGTACGCGGCCAGGTGAGCGGCCAGGCAGCGCGGCCCGTCGCTGCAGCCCCGCTCGGCCAGCGCGGCCGCCAGCGTTCCGGCGAACACCACGAGCGCCAGCAGCCGGCCCCAGTTGAGGCCGCCGTCGGCCTCCAGCTGCGCCGCCACCCTGCCCAGCAGCGCGGCCGCCTCCCGCGGCTCGGCCCGCGCCAGCGGCGCGCAGGAGCGGAAGAAGGGCCGCTCCTGCCGCTCCAGCTCGGCCGCCGCCCGCCGCAGCGTGGCCGCCGTGGGGCTGGGGGGCAGCGCGGCGCTGCCGGCGCGGTGCTGGAAGTAATCCTCCAGCAGCAGCGCCGTCTCCTCCTTCAGCGAGCGCGGCATGGCGGCTGCCCACGGCGGCGGCCCCGCAGCAGCAGCTGCCGCCGACTAAGAGGCGGGGCGGGCCCTCCGCCCGGCCCGGCCCGGCCCAGCCCGGCCCGCCCCGGGCGCTCCCCGCCTCCGGGGCGGGGCCAACCGGGCACGTTCCCATCGGGAGCGGACCGCCCGCATCCCTGGGAAGACGTCCGCGGCACGTTGCTGCGGGCCTCGCTGGGCAGCCGAGGGAGTTATCGGGTGCTTGCTCTCAGATACTTGTTTTAATTCCTTTTGGCTTTTTTGTTCCACGTTAGTGGCCCGCCCGAACCTGTATTCTTTGCATCAAAGGAGATACAGGTTTTCCAGGATCAGGGTGTGAGTGCAATGTGTATTTACTCAGCAAATACAGTGGCCTTTGTTTTTTGATGAGCATATCGGCAAAGTCTAAGATTAGGATCTTCGTGGTGCAAAGGTCGGGCCATTCACACTGCTGGTGTCAGGTAAAGCGGCTGAGAACGACCCTGGCCAAGGGTGTCATTTGCAGAGCACACGGAGCTGCCCGGCAGGACACCTCCCCTGCACCCCCGCCGTGCCGGGGCAGCTCCGAGACTCCCCCAAACACCGCCCCAAGGGAGCTGGCAGCCCGGCACAGGAGCACCAGCGTGCGCGTCCTGCTCTGTGCCCTTTGAGCTGCTGAAGGTGGCCCGGGGCAAAGCGTGGCTGTGACCGCTGTCACAGCACGGCCCTGCTGTGCCCAGGGTGGCACAGGCACTGCCGCTGTCACAGCACGGCCCTGCTGTGCCCAGGGTGGCACAGGCACTGCCACAGCTCCTGGCACCGCGGCCACCCTCACCTCTTGTCCCACAGCCGGCTCAAGGTGCCCAACGTGCCAGCACAGGACTGCTTGGCTTCGCTCCATCTGTCTTGAGATACAGCTGTCTCCATGTTACATCCCCACTGGAAAATCTAAAAATAGGTGGTTGGAATCAATCCTGTTGCAATTTCTCAGATCGCTATCAAGAATTGGCCTGATCCCTCAGAGTCCCTCCTAAGGCGAACTTTAGTTCTACATCCCCGTTCTTGGCTTTTGTTTTGTTTTGAAGCAGGGAAATAAGAGTCTGTTTATGTGCTAGAGCAGTGGCTGGAATGAGATCTTTACTTTTCACAAGAGCTTTACACACATGTTTTAAAAACTATTTTTCCTTATGATTGTTAATCCTGCAGCAGGAATTTCCTATTGCATTCCTCACAGCAGGAGTGCAAGAGGGAGAGGCTGCTCTTTCTCTAGCAATATCCTTTTCCACCCTTCCTGTTTATATAGCATTTTTGTTTAACAGGACAGGCACCCAGCTACAGCTCCCTTCTCTCCACACGTTTATGGAATAGAGGTGTTTCTGACACAAATAGCTTGACATACCAACAGGGAAATATCGAAACCATGGGTTTTCCAAAGCTTCCCTGGACAGCCTTTAGTGAGTAAAAAACACAATGGGTACTTCAGTGTCCTGTTCCTCTAAGTGTCATTTATCTGATGGGAAGTTGAGGCCCATCCTGGTTGATGTTTTCACCATTACCTCAGGAACAAAGAGGTGATTTTCACAGGTGGCAAGCCCCTGCACCCCCACACACAAGTCCAAAGGCAGTGGCCCCGAAGTGCAAAACCCACATTTCTCCATGCAAGAACAGAAGTGCAAGATGCAATGTCAGACTCATTCTCACTGGATCTTGTGAGTTTGGGCAGTGATGTCACTCAGAACAAGCTGGCTCAGCACTTTCCCCAGGCCCTCAGAAGAGGGGAAATGAAACAAGGCACCTAAATTAAGAAGGTGCTTTTTTCAGTGACTAAACTGAGCACTTCCACTAACCACCTTCAGGCTGACCATAAAACCTACACTAAAGTTGAGAGGACAGCTGGCCACAGCTCAGTTCTCTCCTGACAAGACAGAAAGCTGAACTGCTGCACCTCCAGCTGATCTGCACATCTGGTTTGCCCAAAAAGTCACAGCCTGGGCCCTCAACAGAATTTGAGTGCCTGGCTTTTCACTGGCATCCTGCTGCAGCCCAAGGAGCTCCCACATAACACATACCCTGCATTTTCCAGTTCCTTCCTGGGTATCCCATGAGGATCTGGAAAGAAAACATTACATTAGCTGTGATCCTTCTGAGGAGGAATACAACCAGAGTTCTCCTTGCCTCCTGAATGCAGGGGGAACTGAGATGGCATTTCAAGTACTTCCATGGGCTGCTCACTCTCATTTGCTGTGGTTCACCTTAGGTATTTCCAGAAGATATTCCAGAAACAATTTTCTGGTAGTTCTGGATTTTACCTGAGATTTTTGCAGGAGAAATAATTTAAGAAACTGTGTGGCGCAAAAAGTGAATGTCAAAAAAGCAAAAAACCAAATAGCTACCAAGCACTGGGAAGAACTACTACATACATGTTCTCAGTATGTAAAATACAATTTATTGTATTTAGGCTGTTCATAAGTATCAACACAATGTATTATGTTTGAAACAAACATCTTGCCAATAAATACTACCTAAACATTAATATTAATCTTTTGATCAAATGTGTACAGTGTATTGACTCAATATTGCACAGTGAGTTCTATATGACATTTCCATAGTGCATTCAGTTTGTTACAGGGATAGCTTGCCACAAATATTGCAAAGCATCAGAGTTGACTTTTCCAAGTGAAAACAGCTGATCTATTCCATTAGGGATGGAAGGCTGGTATAAATGTCAGTGTCTTAGGTTAACTGGTTATGGATTGGCAGAACCTAAGGTTTTCATGGATGAGGAGACTTTGTTTCTAATATGATTTTTATATAATTGTAAAAAAATACCACTTGCAAATATAATGAGGATGTTATCATTAAACTCCAGTGACCAGTGAGCTCGTAGACAGGTTCATTCCAGTAAGCTTGTTTCCTCTTGTTCCAATCTAAATACAAATCATATATATGATACATTCAGAGCTGTACCTCACCACCTGCATTTCAAAGGGCAGGCTCTCTTGTTCCAATCTAAAGATAAATCATATATATGATACATTATATGAGAGAGCTGTACCTCACCACCTGCATTTCAAAGGGCAGGCTGTGCAAGCCCCCAGCATTACTCCATCTCTTTGTGCCTGTGCTCAAGTGAGACTTGGAACCTGTTGGTATGAGCAGAGCTGACACACTCTAGTCCCAACAGTTTTCAATGTATGAATGCAGATATAATCTCACAAAGGTGCCATAATTAATTGTATCTCATCTTTATCTAATTAAATCTTGATTCTAGAGCATCACTTCTGTGTGGGGTGGTTCTGCCAGTTCTCGTGGCATTCCCATGCTCACGCAGAGGGCTGGGTGCTGCCAGCAATGTGGCCAGCTGTCCTGCTCTCCTGAAAACCAGTGACTCCTGGATCAGATGGAGTCATGTGCTCTGGTCAGCACAGTATCAAGCACTGGCAGGGCTGTGGCTCACAGCAGATTTTCAACAGCTCACTGTTATGCACTCTCAAGTCCAGCTATGACAAAACCATGTGCATGGCAGTGGGAGATGACTGTGACAGCAAGGACTGTATGATTTCACCTGTATTTGCATGAACTTACAACTGCTCTGACATTGCAGAAGGACCTTAAGATGGGCATATACTGCTTTAAAATACATTTAAGCTACATTGCCTTGCCAAAGTTGTATGAACTGCTCAAAATGCAAATAAGAATTATGGTCATAGAATGATTATGACTGACTTGGAAAAGATTTGACCATCAGTATAATGGTGTTTAATGCTTAGCATGTAGTATTCCTTAGTGCTTAGCATGTAGTATTTCTTTAAGTAAAAGAAAATTCACTCACCAAGTGATACAATTAAAAATTTCTAAGAAACTACTGGTTAAGTATTACCTCATGATTATGTAAATCATGTTTATATCCCTCTTCTTTGCTGTTTATAAGTTTGTATATATTTAGATTCTTTATATTCAGGTAACAGAGATGAAATACTTATTTCTATCTAAAAAGACAGTAGGAAAAAACAGGGATTGAAAGGATTTTTTTTCTGTACAAAAAATACATTTCTATGACAGCAGCCAGTACCTTCACAGCAGGTCCTTTGCTCCTCTACTCACCACCAAGGTTCAGTCATCCATAACACCATCATAAAGTATCAGAATTGTTTCTCTTTCCGTTTTTCAACACTGAAATTCAATATGCTACTACGGAATGTTTCCACAGCCTTTCGCTATATCCTGATAAAATCAGGACCTTTTTTTTTTTTTACTTTAAAAAGGAACTATTCATGCAAATAAATACATAATGTGCACTGAAATACTCAATGATATAGGTGACTTTGGAGAAAAGTCCCTTTATAAATAATGAAACTGATTCTAATAAAAGAATATAGTTTCAAAAAAAAAAATCAAAACATTTCATTTTACTACAAGTTGATGTTTGCTACGTGTTCAAGCAGACTACATTTTCTACCTAGCTGTGTTAATCTGTGGACTGTCACTCTTTTGGACTGTAGTGAATATTTGATATTGAGGAGTGGCTTCTTTATGCAGTTTTGTAGTCCAGGGTTCCAGTCTTCATTTGACTCTGCAGACGGGATCTCAGGTTACGCCCAGATCTGTAGAAAGAGAGAGAGCTGAACACCCCTTTATGACCCTGACTGTCCCATCAAACCTTAAATTAACATTGGTACGCCGATCCCATTAGCGGTACAGAGTATCAGCAGCTACGATATCATGTAACCCAACAGCAAGCTCAAACTCGGCAGTTCCGCCAGCACTTCGCGGGGATTTTCATTTGGCTTTGCTCTTCATCTTTTACACTGTTTTATACCCTCCTGGGTTCCCCATGAGCAGTTTTCCTGTACCAGCCCTTTACTCGGCAGCTGAAGCAGCAGCACCCGCGGCAGGCTGTCCCGGCGCTCACCCGCAGAGTGTGGTCCCAGGAGCCCGAGCAGAAGGCGGTCCCGTCGGGAGAGACCCGCAAGGTGCTGACGCGGTTTTCATGTCCGAACAGAATGGACACGCGGGACCCCTTCAGCACATCCCACACATTGATGGTGTAATCGTTGTAGCCTGCGAACAGCAGGCGACCTGCAGAGACAATGAGATTTTACACTGGCAGCTCTTAGCGTGCCTTGACTGCAGGACACGATCGCCCGTGAGCCACAAGCCCACCTGTGACCACTGCTCCCCTTGGGCCAGCTGTGCCCCCGGGGGACAGCCCTGCCCCTAAAACACTTACAGTTAATTAGTGAAAAGCATTGTAAATTTTAGTTAAATTACATAGAATGTGTTCAGTCATTTAGAGGGGGATGACTTCAAATCAGGCTGAAGAGCACTTTAACAACTACTGCAGGGTAATAATACTTAACTCAGACCTCGCACAGAAGTTGAATACAAATGCTTGAATGATTAACAGACAATTTGGTAAGTGATTCACTGCCAACGGGACGAGCGGCGGTGCTTGTGACCATGACAGAGACGTTTGCCTCAGTTCCAGGAGGAGGGCAGTACACCACCCACTCACCCCCAGCCAGGGTGACTGGGGAGCTCTGCATTTGTGCCGGGACAGGAGAGACAAGACTCTCAGGATCGGTAGTGAAAAGTGGTAATGCCTCTTTCTTCATGCCCCTCTAATATACTTTTACTATTAATCATTTGTTACGCTTTCAAAAACTATTTATGTAACTGCACTGAATAGTTAGCTACATTTTATGTTGCCTTTGAAATGTTTTTCATTATTATTGTGAAACTCTAGCCCAGCTGTAGTTAATGGCAAAATATTTCCTGCCTTCAGTAGGGCCAGGAAAATACTTTTCATCACTACAACGAAGCAATAGCCAGCTAGGTTATTTAAAGAGTAATTATTTTTACAGAGGCAAGAGAAAGCTTCCATGCACTTGGTACTTATTACTTTTGGTAGCTTTTAAAAATGAATGTTTTATCAAATTAAAGTGAAAAATTCTACAGTTCCCCTCAAATCTCAACACTAAGATAACCTCCAAAGTTCAAGTCTCACCACTGAGAGAGAAGTCCACACTGGATGCTCCAAAAATGATGCTCTCTTTGGAATAAATTGCTACTTCTCTGTCTGCACGAAGGTCATATAAACGACACTAGGATTAAAACAAAACCAACACACATGCCTCAGTAAATACTGGCTACAATATTTGGAAAAAATGGGAGTGGGAAGTACAGCCTAACAGACATCACAGGAAGCGGCTGTTTGGCTTCTTTCCTTCTGCTTCCTCCTTCCCTTCTGCTTCTTCCTGCTGTAACTGGGATCCTCTAACAGGAATCTAAGCAACACAAGGTTGTTTTGTATACATTGCAGGAAGAACTTTCTTTTTCAAGCCACTTTTCTAAGCCTCCTGCCTGTCCTAGAAAGACATGAGTGGTGGGCTTTGGGCCATGGTGCCCACTGGAGTGCCCACACCCTCCTGCTTCCCCCGCTGTGGTTTATCAGGGCAGCCTGCTGCTGCTGGGGAGGTGCACGTGGGGACAATCTCTTAAACAACAGTTTAGCCACAGCCTGGGAGATGGGATCAAGTCTCTAATCACTGCTGAGATCACAGACCATGTGGCACAGAGGAGCCTAGGTGGTAGTCCTGGCTCTGAGTAAAGCCAGGAGAGCAAACAGTCCCTGCCCTTCTGGGAGGCCTCTCTTCTTGAAAAACTCATGTGAAAATAATTGAAGTGAAATAATACATTTTAATGCAGATCTCTGGTTTTCATTTCTCATGGAAAATTCCAAATCACCTCTAACAACCTATACTTCCTGTTTTCATCATTTGCCAGCAAAGTTTGGCTTGTTTGACATGGAAATCATGCATCAGACTTCACTGCCAGACTTCAGACTTCACTGCCATGTAGAAAGGCAGTCTGTTAGCCCTGAAATCAAAATGCACTTTTGAAACTATGTGAACTGAAACCCCTCCTCAATAAGTTAAGCTTAAGCAAACACTGGCCAGATGGGATTGCTAATATTAAGACTTTACTATTGAAAAATGACTGGTATTCAAGTCTGCACATAAAGAAGGGGCTGTTAGATTTGCAGGGCAGTGGGGAGCTGCCAGGTATATGCAGTCCAGGTCTCCCAGTGCTCCACACAGATGAATAATTTCACCAGACTGTCCTGACAGGGAGCTGGGGTCACTGCAGATGACAATACTGTCATCTGAGCATGCTTTTATGGATTACTTCCAGTCAGGATTATCTGTTCCTCAGAATCCCCAAGTATATGAAGTTTTTAAAACATAAAATCAGGGTCACTCTCTCCAAAGAGCCTTGGAATGGCTCCTCATCCAATGAAGACAAAAGGAATGTTTCTGTCGAGTTTAGCCAGCATTGGAGCAGACTCAAAGCATGCTCTGAGGGCAGAGTACTTTAGATAAAGTCTTTGCTCCCAGGTGACTCAGTGTGATGTTTGAATAAACAGAAGAAATGAGCTGCCAGGTGCCTCCTCATCATCTCTCATGCTACACTTCACTGCTAGCTCAGGCCCTGCAGGGCTGTGGTGGGGCAGAGCCTGTTCCCCCATGGGACACACCAGCTGCAGTGAGGACCATCAGCCCTGAGCATCACTCCGGGGCACAGGGCACCAGGAGACAAATGGCATTTTGTATACATTGGGCTGATCAAATTTACCTGTCAATGCATTCTGAGCCCCTCCTAGCAGATTGCTCATAGATAAGTAGGATCCATTAAGGGCTGATGTGCGATCTAGGATGACCTGGCTGCAGTGACTCACTGCAGTGACTGTGGCCAAGGCCACCCTGGGGCTGCAGAGGCCAGCTACCCACATCTGCCCTGCTCTGCCCTGAGCCCATGCCCCTCTGCTTTCTGGGGCATGCTGACACAAGCTGCACCATTTCAGCTGGTTCCTCCCATGCTGTGACCAAGAGCTATGTGAAGCCAAATGTCTTCCAGTAAGACAATTTTAGTCATGACACAGAGAATCTGAAATGAGTATTTGGACAGTACCTCTTGTAGAGAAGTTTGCAGTAGTGACCTACAGTGTTACGTGATTTTCCCTAGAACATTATCTATGGTCTTTAATATCTTACCTTACAGGATTATTATTTCTACAAATTGGGTGTCACAGGCCCAGTTTAGTCACTAAAAGCCCTCTGTGGATGTGACTTAGTCTTTTAGGAAAATCTGACTTGGGAAGCAACAGAATTTTCCTAAATTAGGTTGCTGAATTAACATACCGTGGCATCGTCTGAACCAGAGGCAAAAGCATCTCCACTTGGATAATATCTGTGCACAAGTGAAAGAAGACCAGAACACATTACATTACTTGGATGAGGTCAGACTTCAGAAATAGAATCAGCACATTGCTCAACACTGCAAACGTGTCCTCTCCCAGAAACACACTGACCTGACACTGTTGATATCTGAATCGTGGGTTTCAAATGACTGCACACACTGACCAGACCGCATGTCCCAAACCATGGCTTTCTTGTCACATCCCTAGTAAGAAAAAGAAATCATTGCAGTTGTGCAAATGGTGACATTCACCCCTCATGTGGCTGATATTTATCATCAAGCCCACTACATTCAGAGGCTCTGAACATCACAGCTCAGAGAGGATTTAACCAGCCCAGCAGCCCCAGAGCTGGCTGCAGTGGTACCCTCAGCTGTGCAGTGCAGGTGGGAGCAGAGTTCCCCAGGACGGCTGGAGCTGCCCTGCACTCACAGCCCTGCTCTGCTTGTGCTGCTGCCCTACCACTGTCTGCAGCCCCACCACAGCATGGAGATGCACAACTGACCTGTTCCCTGACCACTTAACAAATGTAAAATACCAGAACCCAGCATTTAAAGTTTTGTAACTTGTTATTTTCATACATTGGAAGAGAAAATTAAATCAGTGCATCCAGAGGGTTTCTTGCCCAGCCCCCTGCCAGGGTTATCCCCTGTCAGAGCTCTGCACCCACATGCTTGATGGTGTGGCTGGAGTGAGAAAAACAGCATAGCAGCACTTCATCTCATCAAGCCAAAACCTGCCTTTCCAAGCTGTGCTTTGAAAGGAACATTTAACACTCAGTGCTCAGCACCCTGAATTCTTTGGGCAAGGGGTTTGGCCCATGTAGTCTACACTGTCCTTGGGGCAAGAACCATCTCATACCCATAGGACCACGCTCTCAGCTGCAATGTCACTGCTGTCACAGTGGTAGTGACAGGAAAAAGAACATGGACTTTGCTTTGAAGAGTGATGGGAGATTTTAATAAACCTGCTCCTGCTGAGGAGCAGGCAGGCTGAGCTCAGGGGCTCAGCCTCTCTGAGGCTGTGTGGGAAGGACAAGGCAGGCCAGGTGGCTGCTGCTTCTGCTGAGCCAGAGCACCCTGCTCACCAGACCATGCCACACGTTATTTATTTTAATCAAATGTGATAGCTAATTAAATTAAACAGTTTCCTCACAATTCACGTATTTCTCTCTCTCTTTTTAAAAATTCTGTTGTTATAATGAAATCCTAGTGTTTTTAGTAAAGATGCCATTATTTAAAAGATGTAATGCTCCTTGGCACCAGCTTGTGGTTTCTGCACCAGGGAAGCCAAACAGGATAAAGAATATTTTGGACCCAGCATATTCCCCTCTCAAGCACCACCATAGGCCAAGCCCAGCCCTTCACATTGCTTCCATGTGCACTGCTCTTACTGACTCCTCTGGTAATTTGGGAGCACGACCAATCTGACAAGCTGGTGCTTTGACTGCTAAGGTTTTGAAGGAAAAACCAGCCACCACCTGTGGAGAGATGGACCCCCTGAGTGATACCCAACTCAGCTGAGGAGCCTTGTTCAGAGGGCACTGAGTACAACAGCCTGGGACACGGCCCTGAGCTTACTCAGGAGGGCTGGAATGTTCATTTAAATGGTTAAATGTAACACCCAGCCTACATGCTGATACACTGACATCGCTTATTCCAGCTCAAGGTTACTGTACCACAGAGGCCCAGTATTCAGGGAATCTCTGTATGCCACCATACCTTCACCATACCTTCATGCTGTTCTGCCTATACCTGCACTGACACGATGTAAGACAGGTCTTCACTGCAGTGGTGTTTTGCATGTGATGAATTAAGTGAATGCCTGTAAGCACAGACATGCCCAAGCTGCTCTATCAACACAAGTATGACATATTCTCTTAGCAGTAGCAGAGCTGCTTGTGATTCCTTGCCCTATAATAAGCTGAGCTGTTCCCAGGGAGAATGAACCTATCCTTTCTGGGAAGCAAGCTCGGTGACAGGAAAACCCGAGAGAAGTAATGCACTTGGATGGAATTAGCTTTCAGTCACGCTTCGGAGCAGCTGTGCTACCAGCAGGCAAGCTGGGCCAGTGTGCTGGACTCTGCTCCTGATGTGCCAGCCAAATTTGATAAAAAGAGCCATAACAGAAGAGGTCCAGGTATATTGTGTAGGGATAAGACCACCTAACACAAGGGGTGCACCCTTGTTGGCACCCTCTGGCACAAGGGCCATTTTCATCATCAAATACAGGATCAACCATGGGCCAGTGCTGGTGGGGCTCAGAAACCAGCAAAGTTATTGGTACTTTCAGCAAAGTTACCAGTAGCAACTGGCCTCTCAGCTCCTGCCAGCTCTCATCTGCACACTCACTTTCTAATGTGGGCAAGACTAAGATCACCTTGAAAAGGAGTTGAGCCCCATCCCACCCACCTTTATGCCTGGCCTGCCTCACTACCAGGCTGTGTGCCAATGGCTCAGCTGCTTGGGAACAGTGATCCCTCAGCAGCAGGACATGATTTGGAAGATGCCCTGGGTACTTTCCCTGACCAGTCCAGTCCTGCAGCCCATGAGGTTTGTGTGCTCCTCTGCACCAGGACAGGGAGCAGAGTGTTTGACTGATGAAGGGGCTTTAAATGCCTCCGGTACCACTGGAAGGCACAGAGGACTCAGCAACAGCTCAAGATGTGGCCACACCTCATCTCCCTGCTCCAGCTTGCACGAGGGGTTAGCCAGTGTCCAAGCTGCCCCTTGACTCTCAGGACATAGTGGCACACACATTATCTGCAACCCCACTTCAATGCCCTGAGCACAACCTGACGCCTGTCACACCCCATCTGGCTCCAGAGAGCTGGGCACAGGAAAGGAGCAAAGTGTGGGAAGTCTCTGCTGTTCCAGGCTCCCACCCACAGGGACTCACACCTCCACTGTGGTAGGAGCCCCATCTCTAACTCTGAGCCTTCCCCTTCCCAGCAGAGGCGTTGTTTTGATCTGGAGCTGGATTGCTTTGATGTGGGGTGGAACTTGCTAAGTAAGCAGAACTGCAGTCAGACTGGCTGGGTGGGTTTGACCCCACAGTCAGGGGTTTAATTTGCTCCTGCCTGGAAAATGTGCTTGCAATGAATGGATTGCACTGGGGCATCCAACAGACACTCCAGCACTCTCTCAATAACATCATGAGCCTCCTACTTTGCTGCCTTTTCACTTCCATATTCCTTAGTTTTATATTATGAGAGGAACTCCTGCTTACCCCAGAAACAAATGTATTTCCCGTTTCAGAAGGGGCCAGGTCCAGGCACAGGACATCAGCTCCATGACCATGGAAACTCTGTAGAAGTTGCCCACTCTCAACATCCCATAGAGCACAAGTTCCATCTCCACTTGCTGTCAGAATCTATAGGATGTGGGAAGAAGAGTCACAATACAAGAATCAGCAGATGACCTTCAGGTCACAAAGAAAAAACTGACATCCTACACAAACACCAAAGGACAGCTTTAATTTAATGAAATATTAGGCAATAAATCAAAGCCATAAGCCCAGTGTGAACCTAAGTTCAGTTTATGGTTTTTATTTTTAAGGAAAAAAGGTAGATTAAAAAAGAGAGTTGTATGGACACTACTATCCCTATGCAATGTTTCAATAACAGTCCCTTTTGTGTGGTGGGGTTTGCACAACTGACAGGAGTGAGGATCTGCTGGCATTTTCATATTCTCTAAAAAGGAGGGAGAACAATACTGGTATTCCTGTCTACCCCTGTATTTCACTCTATCCATATTTAGGCAGCTGGAATTCAGCTCAGGTAAGTGGAAGAACTCTTGCAGTTAAGTATACCTGTTTAACTCACCATTTTTTTTTTCTTTCTGCTTGAAATAGTCAGGTTAAACCAAATTAATTTGACTAAGACATGGATTTTCTGAAAGGGAAGTAAGCCTGTCTAGACAGTTGTTTGATAAGTCCATCAGCTCTCACTTGTCCTAAACCATTTGTGTGTGAAAGGGCTTGAACATACACTGCCCAAACATAGCTCACAGCTTCCCATCTGCTACAGTACTTGTAGAAAGCACATGTGATCAGAGCTTGTTATTGTGGCTAAATCCTGATGATGCTCAATTGTTCAAAATTTCCCCTTGGCACCCGAAACTGTTATGCAATCACAAATTCTGTAGGTTGAAAGAGTCCCTGTGCACTGGTGTGGAAGGAAGCAAGGGTGAACGTAGGAGGGCTCTCAGTTTTGTACGCAGGTTTTTCTCATGGTTGGTGAGGAAACTCAAGTGATCCCAGTGGGTAGCTACAAGTTAAAAACAAAATTCTCTTCAAGAAGAAAATGATCACACAGTCACAAAACCATTCACAGAGTTGCATAAAGGTTAAACACTGAACATGTTTCACAGATGCTCCAAAATTCTTCCCGTAAACAGAGGCCTGCAAAGCTGCAGAACAGACTGTTCCGAATCCTGCAGCAGAGAGATGCTAATGCTCTCAGATGATAATAGCAGAAGAAAGTCCTGAATTGTCTTCCCAGCCAGTTTTGAGCCTAGATGAACTCCCCTGTTCTGGGGAATGTTTGTACTTGGCTGAGGAATGAAGACTTTCAGCTCTGGGATTTGCTCTTGTAACACTGTAGAAGGGAATATGAAGGGAAAAGGAGTGGCTAAAGGTGTAAGGGAAGGGTCTGTTGGCAACCCAGAGCTCCAGCTAATGCTTAAAGAGAAATGATATGGACTCAACTTCAGCCCTGCCACACTTGGGAGCATGGCTGCCTGCCCTATGCAAAACACTTGAGATCCCAATTAACTGCTGCTATTAATACACATGGAGCATTGTCACGTGGGGAGCATTATCACACCACAGAGCTGCAGATACCTAATTTAGGAAGTGAGGCTCCCTGGCTCTCTGCTCACTGAGGCAGGGGAGGCTCTCTCAAGCAAGACTGGTTTGGGGCACTGAGAACAAGATGTGTGGGTCACCCAGCACTGCAGCTCGGGCTCCACGTGGGAACATGATGAGCAGCAAGGGTGGGACCCCCTTTTTCAGCACCCACAGCCTGGGAATGACTCACAATGAGCCACCCCCAGATCTCCTCCCTTTCCACTGCACTGCCCAAAGCCCATGAGCACACTAAACCCTAAACTCCTACCCAGTCCTCCACGCCTCTGTGGGAAAAGGCAGTTTAAGACAGCAGTCAGGGCAGAGCTGCAGCCCTGGCAGCACCGAGCAGTGGGAGCTGGGGGACACCTCCACCTCATGCTGGAGCTGCTCCAGGATAGCACCACATCCCTCCTGATGCAAACTGGGAGAGGAGGCCTGCTCTGCACACAGCTGGCAAAGCTCCTGCACAACGTATTTGTTGCACTATGCACCCTCAGAGTTACTGAATAGTTTTAATTCTCAATACTTTTAATTCTGATGCCTTTGTATAAATGAAAAAAGAAATGTGGGATTCTCTAGGATCTGCTACATAAGAGTCCTAAGAGAAGCTTGGCCAACCTGTTGCTTGTATTTGAATAATAACATGCAGTACTATAAATTATCACTTATAAGCCTAGCAATCACAAGAAAATTTCTTTTTAAAGACTTCAGAAAAATTTCTGACTCGCTAAATATAAAGCACCTTAATCCACTGTGGTATGACTTCATTCAATAGTAATACATGACCTTCAATATCAGTGCAGTTTGCTGTATTTCATATGGAAAAAAAACCCCGACTTTTCTTTCCTTTTTGTTATGAAAAAAAATTGCTATTTTTCCTGTCATAGGATTTAATATCAAAGCATTTAAGTATAGACAAGAGAAAAGTGGGTTTGTATCTCATCAAAAACATTCCACTTAATGTAGACTCTAATTCCACATAGCTCCTGCACAGAAGGTCAGGGCTAAGCAAGCCTGAGTGCTGGGTACCTCCACCACTTGTTTCCATGGCAATGGACTTAAATTAGCACCTCAGAGTCATTACAGAAACCAGAGAGTGACAAACAACAACATACTCTCGGCTTCACATGTCCTGAAATAGAAGCAACAAGAGCTGATATTTCCTTCAGAAGAGCTCCAAATATCTGGAAGAAGGGGACATGGTATTCCCTTTCCAGCAGCTCTATTGACATTGAGAGCTATAAAAATGCTCCATTCTGCCGCTTATTTTGCTGCAGAGCTGCACTGAGAAGAGCTTTAATTAAATTCAGAAACCAGAGAGGACAAGGGGATTATCCTGGCTCCTTTCATCATATTCTGTGTTCCTAGAGAAAGAGATCTTTGAGATATTCAATAGAGAGGAAGGCTGGCTTGGTCTCAGATCTGCATTCAGTTCATGACTTTGCCATCACCTCCCATTGTGGGCCTCTGTGCTCCACCCCACTGCCTGTGAGATGGGAACAGCATCACTCTTTTCCCTCGAGGGAACACAGCACTGCATGTAGAAACAGCAGGTATGGCCCTCTGGGGCCATCCTGAAGCTCATTTGTATCACTTGGTACAAATGAAAAATACTTTGAATGAAAGCAAAAGCAAATGTTGCCGGATGTCCGGGACAAAGCAGGCAAACAATACAGTCACCATCATCTGGCACAGCACCCAACCCAGTCCTGGCTGAACCAGGTTTTAACTATTTGCAATAGTCTGGGCTCCTAAAAGCACAAACTGGGGAGCAGAGAACATACAGGTACCAGAGAGCTCCCTCTGCAAAAGCCACAGGCCTTTGTAGGGTCAGCCTGACCACAGGCTGTGACAAGCATTTCCTTACAGCAGCTTTTGCAGCACCTTCATTGCCCCCTGTGAGGGTGTTCCAGCAGCCACGTGGCCCTGGTGCCCCAGGAGCAAGGAAGGACACATGCACTGCAGCTCGTGTGAGGAGATGGTGAGCAGCGGGCAGGGAACGCATTTACCTGCATGTCTGAGTTAGTGAAGCTGCAGGCAGACAAGTAGTTCGTGTGCATTGCAACAGATTTCTTCTTTGCAGCCATATTTTCATTTTTTTCAAATGTCAGAGGGTACACAGAACACTTGTTGTCCAGGCCACTGAAGAGAGTAATAATAGCAGTAACAGAGAGAGGAAAACTGGTTAAAACTGCGACGACAAAAGGCGAGTGGTGATAAGAAGGACACCACCTGTCAGGGCTGTGCTGCCAAACCCTTCCAAGTACCGACTTCCCTGTATTGTGCTGTGTGGGATCTCCCTGTGCAGGGAAGCCCCAGCTGCCTCACCAGCCTGGCTGCTTTACAGAACTTGAACAGCTGCGCCTCAGTATTTTTCACTCTTATCGAGGTTATAAATGGCACTGAATGAAACCTCACGAAAGTATAAGCTGGGAGGTGACAGCAGCCACCTCAGGGTTAATGTTTCACATACAGCCAAACTGCCATTTTTCTGCTGACATCTGTCATGGCAAAGATCAGTATTTCAGCATCATTATACACCTACCTTAACAAATGTGACCTAGCTCCTATAGAAGAGGCAGCATAGCTAGCAGTGGGTGTGAATACAAAATTTATAGAACAGTTTGGAAAAAAGGCAACAGAAGCACTGATCTCTGTAGCTGCTGCCCCTCTCCTGAAGAGTTGTACCAGTTAAGCTGTGTCAGACCCAGGACTCATTTCTAAAGGGTAGGATGTACCCTTTCCTAGAGCTGTGCTAGATCAGACCTGCCCTGGTCCCTGGGATCCTGGCACACCACCAGTTGCTGGTTCTGTGCCTTACATTATGTGCATGGCACTTAACTGACAGCACACCAGAAATACAGAATTAGGTGCAATGTATCCATGTATTCCCCATCTCTGCTGCAAGTGTAAAGACAGAACTTGCTTGCCATTCTTTGGGTTCTAGTCAAAAGCAGTTCCCAGACTGCTTTCCACACACAGTCTGCTTCTCTGTCTCAGTCTGCTGTGTTCTAGATCTGCAAGCTGCACACTGAAGTCTCCCTTTGTTCCTTCCTCTCACCCCAAGCTTGCTTTGTCTGATCCACCCAGTTCCTTCTTACAAGATGTTTTGCCAACATTTCATCTCTTTGTTTTTTCCCCTATATAAACTTATTTTTCTCAGACCCGAGCCCTCAGAAAACTACAAGATTGTCAAGAATGGGATTACTTCTCCCCATCCCATCTTAGCAAGATCTATTCACATACTGGTGGTAATCATTAATGATGAACCTCTATGTCATAAAAAAATGAGAGCAAAGAACACAATTAAAACCTCCTTCCCTTAGAAAATATATCCAACATAGACAACCACACTAGAAAAGGGAAGTTGCATGCATGCAGAATTCCTAACCCATGATATAAATACTGAAAGAGGATTATTTTCCATGCTTACACAACAAATGTTATTGCACTGAAGTCAGTGGAGATAGTATGTACGAGCCATTATGGAAATAGAATCAGAGGCACTGAATGTGGACCTTCCACCCACAATCAATCACGGCACACAAACTTCTATCTGTCAGCTTCTGAAGCCACCAGGACACTGCAACAAATCCAACTTCCCTGTGTAAGCTGCTGTGGGAACTGGGAACTTACCCACAAGCAATGGCACATCCAGAAGGGGCATATGCACATGCCATCACCCAGGTACACGGCATGGTCACGGCGTGCTCCTGAAACACAGCATCCCTTTAGACTGCTAAATGCTCACTGCTCCTCTAGCCCATGCAAGGAAAACGGTGGGAGTGATAAGTTCAGTACTTCTGTGGGACATCCTCAGGGTCAGTGCAAGGCATAGGTGTTTCCCCCAGCCACAACTCACGTGCAAGTCAAGAACCCTGACTGCAGAATGCAGCAGAGCAGCAGGAGGATGGCCAGTCCTTCTCTGACAGTTTCCACTTTATTTATGAGCCCCAGACTGATCACACAGCACATTTTATTGGGTCATGCAGTGCTGTGAAAGGTCCCCACTGCTGCACATGTAAAAGTGAGTTAAAAACAAGTTGTTTTTCCTCTTCTGTGTGGTGCAGGCAGGGCAGCCCAGACAGGGCTTGGCCATTTCACAGTGAACACGACAGCTGAAGGATCCCCAGATCACACACAGCACCTGCTACAGGAGTGCCCAGGAAAAGTTCCCCTGTTTTTCTGGCTGGGCTTTGCCTCCCTTGTGAGCAAAGAGGCTGCATCAGACCCTCCCACTGAAGACCATGACAAACCCCAGTGCCCTGACAGGGACTTTGCTCAGAAACAGGTCAAGGGACGTGTCTTGCCCTGGGCTCCTTTTGTGGGGTGCTAGTGGAAGTCTGCATTCCATCCCATTATCCCACTGCCTCCAGTGACACCTGTGAGCCCTTCACCTCATCCCACTGTCATTTGCCCTAGGCACTGAATTTTGCTGGTTTCACTTACTTTGTTGGTAGTGAAGGAATCCCACACGATCACCTTCCCATCCTAAATGAAAGCAGAGAGAAAGAGAAACTGAGGCCTTTGAGAGACATGGCTGCTTCCCAGCTTGGAGAAAACTCTGCTGCTCATTTCCTCTCCCCAGTCTGTTATTTCCTTTTGTCTCCATCTTAACAACAGCACAGTGGTCACAGTGAAGCACCAAGGAGACACTTCTCAGTAATGCTGTTGTATCTACCCCAAGAGAAGTGTATCTCCTCATCTCTGACTCATGTTTGATTAAAAGACCTATTTATTTTTCACTTTTTTTCTCTTCCCTCTTTAATGGCTTCATGAGTACTCCTTCCACCTGCAGCACATGCCACAGACAGGGCCATTTCTGTAAGCCCTCACTTGCCTCTACTGATTGTTTATGGATATTGCACTGTTTATTCATCTTCCCTTTCCAGTCTGATCCTGGTTTTCCCTTTACTTGTCACTACACTTACTTAACCTTCAATTATCCATTATACAACCAGCTAACCAGCCATCACAGAACCTTGCACAGAGAGCAGCACAATCACTTGGTGTACACCAGCTACACTCGTGCCAGCCACTTTGCCTTATGCACATAAAATTGTAATCTTCCCTGTATCATGAAAGTGAAATGTTTATTACTGAGCAACAACTGCTTCTGCATCTGGACTTACAGTTCTTAAAATAGAGTGAAAAATGCATTTCTACCTGTCTGTTCAGTTTTCTGATCTACGCACTAACGTTTTAACCGCTTTAAAAAGTGCGGCATTAAATATTTAAATTATTCTCTTTGTTGAGATCACCATGAATGGTAAAAACTCAGAGTAAGTGAAGGTGGCTTGCAATGCAGATTGCCTATTTTTATCCCTCAACTGAGACCCCTGACAGATTTCATGTAGGTCAGTGAACAGCTGTGAGATGCAACAAGCTCACTCACTGCCATACTGGGCTCAGGATGAACCAGGGGATCTAGAAAGCAATTATCTCATTACCTCCTCCAGCTTATGAGACTGGTCTTGAGCAGGTGTTAGGACTGTTTCTCAAAATGCCCAACTAAATGCAGTAATTTTGGCAGGATATCTGAGGCTTTCAAGGTCATATCAATCATACAGACTGCAGAAGAAATCTTTGTGCATAGAAACCTCTAAAAAAAAAAATCAACGTTTCTTCTCTTTTCCTGATTATTTTCTCTGAACACATAACCTGAAAAATTTGCTAAGTATTTAATCTGTAAAGAACAAGGAAATGGATGTAGCCTCACATGAGTCTATTTTTTTTATTTTAGGAGGGAATATGGGAATCTGTGTACAACCGGACAAGAAATATTTAGGATATCTGCTACAAGAGGTGTACCAATGATTCAAAGGTTAGATTTACACTCTCTGAACAAATACATTGCCAATGAACTTCTTTCAGGGCACCTTGAAATCACTTACAATAATCCCAGGTATCATCTGATAGGAGTGGCACACAGCACAGCAAGAAGATGTGTACAGTGCCCAAGAGCACCTTTAAAAACACCTGCCCAGCAGCATACCTGGGAAGAGCTCACAATTCTTCTCTTGTCTTTGCACCAGTCCATACAGAGAACTTTGTTTCCATGGCCCTTCAGGGTCCTCCTGGTCTTCATCACAAACTGTCCCAGTGCCTCCACACGCTCTGCCACCTGATGAACTGCAGACAGCTGATGGTTAGAGAGCCCTTCATCAAAGCTCTGCCCTGCAAATATCTGTTGATGAGTAATGCCCCTGGAGGGATTAATCCCTGAAGTTTGAGTCCATGGTGCAGTGAGCTCTGCTTCAGAGCTGGCAGGTGGCTAACACCAAGGTGGGTGGCACAGGAACATATTCACCAAATAAAGACAAGGATGAATTCACTCAGGGTTGAATTCCAGGGATGCAGCAGCTGAAGCTCTTGCAGACCATCCCACTCAAGTGTAACTGGAAAACAGATTACCCCTTTGCCCCCCTTTACTGGGAAATGTTCAGGCCTGCAGGTGGACAGACAGGTGTTCTGGAGGTGAGACTCCCAGCTGCAGCACTGGGGTGGTGCAGTGGGTACAGGTACTGGCCACTGGCACTGGTGACTGCTGTGCCATCCCTTCTGGTGGCCAGGACACAGCTCTGAGTGAGCAGGAAGCTGGACATTGGCTGTCTGAGTGCACTACCCAACTTTTCAACAATAACTATGGACATCAAGAACTTAGTGGGATGTCCCTTCTACAAAAGAGGGAAACAGGGCAGGCAAGCAACTTTTCTGAGCAGCATCCTCTGGTGGAGAAGTCAGTTCTTTCATACCTCATTTAACAGCAGTACTTTCAGCTGATGTTCTTAAAAACCCAACAAATTTACATTTCTGCTTGTGCAAACTGACTTTGACATAAAGTTAATGCAGCTGACACAACTAGAAGGTGTCTCATATAACCCTGATGCCCTGATGCTGGGATCACGTGTAAATGTGTGGGAGAAAGTGTCATCTGAGGAAACCTATTTGCCCTGCTCCAGCATGTTCATCCCGTGTGGAGCTGAGGAGGGCCATGACGTATCTCAGCAGCCAGGGGCAGCTCTTCACACACAGGGAGGGTGAGACTCACTTCAAGTCCCACAGCAGAGTAGAGATCCTGAGGCTGGAGACTCTGGCACCAGAATTAAAAACTACTCTCTTTAGAGGAGAGCTGATAGGATCCAGCGCTTCCTGTGTTGTGTGGCTGTCCACACCAAAACCTAACGTGATCCAGCTGCTGCTGCTGGGAGCAACGCCTGGCTCAAACCTTCTAAAATAAACGGAGAAGCTCACATGCTTTAAAGAGCTGGAAGAGGAAATTTTGAGCTTTTCACTGCCCTGCTGGAGACTGAGCTTCACCCCCATGGCAGGTGGTGCTTTGGAGCTGCCTTGCTACTTCACCCTTCATCACTTTTCTGGGGCTGCAAGGAAGCTGATGGGCTGGGAAGGGCTGTGACACTGAGAGAGCAGGCATCCTGAACTTACAGATCACTTCTTGGCACAGGCTCAGTGAAGCAATTTCTGCCCAAGGCAGAGACTGATTTCTAGTGGATTACCTTCTCAAGAGTTGTCTTTCACAGCCACCAGCCCCAGAGGCTGTGCCAGAATAATGTTCTCAGCTGAAATCTCTGCTCAGTCTCCCTGAGCCAGGGCACAGGCGCTGTCCACCATTCCCCACAACCTGCCCATAAGTCAGAAGCCAGTTTCTGAGAAAGTACCATATAAACCCACTGAGGAAAAGATACATTCCCCCTACTACTGCCCACAGAAACCTGCCTAATGATCCAATAAAAGACATGGAAACACAGCACAGGAGGCTATTATGGCAGCTGGAAAGATGCTTGTGTCCAGAATATATCTGAAAAAACAAATGCTTCACAGACACTGGACAAACAGTTTCCATTATGTGAACACAGCTGAGCCTCTGAAATTGTCTGGTTTAGCCTCACTGATTCTCTGAGGATGCTTATCTCCAACCACAGCCATAATAATCCTGCTCCTGCCCAGCACAGGTTTGAGAGTCAGACAGTTATTTTTAAGCATTCACCAGTATTGTTCAAAGATAGTTGAAAATCATGCACTCAGACAAGCAGATCAGCTAAAGCCAGTAAACAGCTTGAGTAGTTTTACAGAGGTCCAGATAAAACTGCCCGTTTTTCTTAAAAATATTGTTTGGCCTGAACAGGAGGTGTGGAATTGATGCAGACACTCTTAGGTCTTTGATCCTTTCTGTGTTGGGTCTAATGGTCTCTCTGGCCCTAAAAATTCATGGATTGCACAAACAGAACAAACTTTTGTCTACATCTAAAATTTTAAGCTCTTGAATTGACTCCTTAAAAATATAAGACTGCAAATCAAATGCATGTTTGGCATTTCCTCTTTCTATGCACATTTTTGAGAGCTGCTGTTCAAAACCAGTTGAACAAATAAGGGCAATCCTATTTCAGCCAGCTATTTGTTTTGGGAACCACAGAGGGAAAGTCATGATCCGAGCAAAAGAATGCAGAAGATACAATTTTAGATTAGGGGAAAAAAAACCCCAAACCAACCACGCAAAAATCAGAAATGATGTCTTATTCTGAAACTTACAAACTCTGCAGAAATAGTACCCGGGACTAATTTAGGTGTAAAAAAGCTCTGATACAGAATCAATTATATAAAATATCATAAAGGAGCATTGTTCTACAGCAGCATAACACTTTTGTCTTAGAAATGCTGTAATGGCTTTGCAAACACAGCTTTCCAATGGAAATTCATAGATCTTATATATGACAAAGAATATCCCACGACTATCAATGGCACACACAGTTACAGTGTCACTGTCATCAGAGGTAAAATATTTTGAGCAAAAATGGGTTTAAGAACATGCTTAAGAGGTCTGTTAACCAAAGACCCTGCCACTTCTGATACAGAAATGGTACTATAGGAGTATGGTGATTTACGGTAATGTTTCTGTAATGAGGACACCTCTGTTTAACAGTTCTGATTAACAGGACATTCATATGACATGACTGCCTAACTTAGGCAAGAAAAAATTCTATTTATTCCAGAATATATATATATATATATATATAAAATTCCAGAATACTTTTTTATTTTCTTTTAATTGTAATCTTTCCCAACCTGAAAATCAAAAGTGTTTTGCAGTCCCTCATTCTTACAAAACACTAAAGAACTAAGAACTAAGTCACTGGATACAAGCTCAGATTCCTTTTCAATGCTTAAGGCACCAGAACACATTAAAGAAAAGTTTTAATGACCCAGTAATGTTTCTAATAGAGTGAGCTACATGATTTCAGACGGAAACAGTAACTTACGTGTTTTTCTAAAAAAAAAACCACCAAAAGCAAAAAAACCAAACGAAACCAAAACAAAACCCTGCAATGTATCGTTGCAATTATAAAATGGCATAATGATAATAAAAGGATTTTTTATATCTCTGAACTTGTGAATACCTATTTGAAAAGCTCCTTTAACGTAAGGTGAGCTTCTTTTTCCTGACAGGGGAAGGGGCTCGGGGGAGGGCCGGGCTGAGGTCTGTCCATGGCATTTCTGCGGGGTTATCCCTGGATCCTGAAGCTGCAGCCGATCCCGGTGAGTTCCACATTGACAGCTCCAGCACTGACTCACCCGCACCTCTGAATCAGCACTGCATCCCTGCTACTTGTTTCCCTGGCAGAAAAGGGGCAGAGCAGCTGTTTTTGGAAACAACGCTCCTTTTTAAGCCCTTCCACACCTCGGGTGAAATCCCGGCCCCATTAAAGCAAATTCCCATCAACTTCCACATGGCTGGGGTTCATCCTGGCTGCTGACAGTACACCCAGGCTCGGCCGGGCTGTACCCAGGCTGTTCGAGGGTCGCCGCCCGCCGGCTCCCCCGCCGCCCGCGCCCGGCCCCACTCACGCTCCACGTCGTGCAGCTTGGCCCGCTCCTCCTCCAGCTTGCCCTTCAGGGTCTCGGCCTCGCTCTTCAGCGATGCCAGGGTCTCGTTCTCGTGCAGCCCCTCGGTTGCCATCTTTGCAAAGGAAGCGGGGAGAGCGGGGATGAGAGCGGGAGGGAGGAGGAGTTTGCCAGCCCGGCTCTCGGGGATGCTGCCGCGGCTCCTGCTGCCTCAGCAACGGCGCCGGAGCCGGCCCGGGCTCCCCCTCCCCTCCCCGCTGACGTCCAGGCCGGTCCTGAGCACGCACACCGTGGGGACCAGCATCCCCACCATGCCCGGTCCTGCCGGCTGCAGCATCCCCATCCTGCCGGCTGCAGCATCCCCATCCTGCCCGCTGCAGCATCCCCATCCTGCCCGCTGCAGCATCCCCATCCTGCCGGCTGCAGCATCCCCATCCTGCCGGCTGCAGCATCCCCATCCTGCCCGCTGCAGCATCCCCATCCTGCCCGCTGCAGCATCCCCATCCTGCCCGCTGCACCATCCCCATCCTGCCCGCTGCACCATCCCCATCCTGCCCGCTGCAGCATCCCCTGTCCAGCCGCTCCAGCATCCCCTGCTCCAGCATCCCAGTGGTCTCCAGGCCGGCAGCTGGGACCAGCCTCATCTCCCGCAGCCCAAAGGTTTCATTTCCACAGAAACACGTGCCAGTGGCTTTATCTGTACATACCTAAACTTGTTTGTACAAGTTGCACAATGTGGGAGAAAGAAGGGAAAAAAAGCCATTGGTCACCCCAATGGCATTTTAAAATATCAGACTGGAAAGCCAGATCTTGTCCAGGGTTAGCAAGACCCATCTTAGCTCCATCACTCCCTGATACTCCTATGGGTAGGGGGTACTGGGAGAGTCAGCTATGTAGGTCTCTAGGACAGATGCAGTGGTGAAAACTCTTCTCTCTACTATGCTTTGAATCCCTGATTTTTGAATTTGTTGTTATCAGAGTTCCTTTCCTTTTTGTTTCTCTCCTTTAGACAAGCTATCCCTTGTAACCTTTGTATATCCTACTCTCAGATGTGCACGTTAGAGTCTGTGGCATTCACATCTCTTGAAACAGAGCAGTTTCCAAAATCCCAAAGAGGTAATAAATAGCCCTCCACTTTGGTGTGGTGTGAGCCCCGGGGCTCAGCTCTTGGGTTCTGCTCATATGAATATGTGCTGGGCACAGGGAGCAGCTGATGCTTCCAGAGAAAGAACCGTGGCACATAGCTTTTTGTTCCCTGGGAGTTCCTTGAAAATGTCCCCTTTTCATTGCAGAATTGTCCTTGATCTACAAGGAGTAACTCTGTGCAAATTGACGCCCATTATGTCCCTTTAGGCAGAAAATAGACAATCCAGTGGCTATTGTTCAACCTGGGGATGTGCCAAGATTGGAGAGGAGATAAGAAAATGCTTGTTTGCAGCTGTTGTTTGGACTCTGGGCACATCCTGGACAAAGCGTGGGTCTCAGAGAAAAGAAAAGTCTCTTCCCACACTGGGTTTAGAAGCAGTGCTGCTGTCCAGCTGGGAAGCAGAGGCAGAGCTGCTGAGCTCTTCACCATCGCTCTGGAGCTGAACTCGGGGTCTGGCCAAGTCCACAAGGTCCCTTTTAGTCAATGGCTCTGCAGGCAGAAGCCAGGTTACTTGACTGTGAATCAAATGCAGTGGATCTATTTCCAGCCTTCTCACTCTCCACAGAAACCGGTGCGATCTAACCCAGCCAGCCCGATGGCCATGTAGGCAACCCTGAACTCATCACGAGAGAAAATGTAGGCAGTATGAGCTATGGGTTCACACACTGCTGGACAGAGGAACATCCTTCAAAGCCCTCAAGAGTCATCAGCACATTGCAAATGCCTTCCAGCACAGGCTATGCCAAGGAAATAAAAATTGACTATTTTAAAAGTGATAACAAAAGAACATAAAAAAGCAAAACCAAGAAACCCAAAGATCTTTTAGCAGGAAAGTGACAGAAAGCTTCTTCCCGTGCATTATCTTCAGGTCTGAAAAATTAAACCTACTTATATTAAACTCAATAATACAGCTGTGTCCTGGGGGACTAGCAGAAGTAGATTCTGAAGAAGAAACTTCATTTTTGAAGGATTCTAATCTATAACAAATGCCTTATTTCTGACACCTGATAAGTGTGGAGAGGCCCAGAAGTTAAACCCAACAAAAGGCATGTAGGATATTTCTTTGCCTTGATAGGAATGCATCAGCTCTCAGGAATTTGGCACAGATAACACCTATGTGTCAGACAGTTGGCATAGTTCTAACAGTGAAAAATCCAGTTTCTTGCCTTACTGATGTGAGCAGTCTCACTGCCTTGTGGAATGGGATTAAAAAGTCTACAAAGAGCAGCACAGAAGGTGAGTCTTTGGGAACCGTACATGTGCAGGCTGATACGTGATGCTAATCCTGAGATGATGGGGTCAGCAGAGCCAGGAGGTGGCAGGGAAGCCTCTACTGAACAGACTGAACTGTAGAAGTGTGTGATACATAATGTATATTTCACTGGTTTGAAAGAAAAAAAATTTAAGTATTTAGTTCATCTGACCAACTCCTGCTTAACTGCCCATGCCATTGTTAGCTAACCATGCAAAAATACAGGTTAGACTAAGGCAAATTGGGAGCTTTAAATAAAATGAACCAGGGCTGAATTAATTTAGATGATAGCTTGAGTGCCAATGAGTGCCACACATGGCAAATACACCAGATTGCTGTAATGAGTGATGGGGGTCCATGGAAGAAGGTTGGTCCTGCTCTGGTAATAGTAACACTGGGGAAAATGAAGGATCTAGCAGTATAAAACAAGTTGTTGCCTACCTCAAAAGTCAGGCCTTTAAAATAAGTTTCCTTTCTCACTAATTCACCGCTGATACCTTTTCAAGTTGTAAGCTAATTTTGTGGTGAAACTAAACCAACAAACATTGAGTTTCTACTGATTAGCACCAAACTCCAAAGCAGGCAAAACCCCAGAGGAAAAAGATTATTTTGTCTAAAAGGCAAACAATTGAAGTAAGATGATGTCAACACTGGGAATCAGCAATTTCTGATTCTGTTATCCCTCGACATATGTTGTTTTTGGGGAAATCACCAAGACTGGCTGATGAAAATGCATGTGTACATCTGCTGGACTGAAATAGGAGTTGCATGGGCACATCAGGGAGCTGCAGAAAGATCAGCCAGTCAGACACCACAATATGCACATGCATCCACAAGCACAACTGTGGCAAAGGATAGATTGTGCATTTTGATATAAGCCAAAGCATACACACAGCTCTGAAAAAAAACATTTAAAAGTCAAGGATGGAATTTCCCTACTTGTGTGTATTTCTGTGCTAGTGAAAAGAGCTCTCTGTGTTCTAAATATCTGCTTTTAAACCTTTTAGAAAGTATGAAGCAAGCTGAAGCCAGATCTAGCAGAAAGCCCCAGGCCCCTGTGCAGTGCCATTGGGAAGCCTAACAGGCTGTTAGGTACTGATGCAATTCCTCCTGAAGTCTGTCTGCTTCCACCTTCCAGCTGTTCCAGCTGCTAAGAGTCCGGCCTCCTTACTGCCAATAACAGGGAGTAAGTTGCAGGAACTGTAAATAAAAAACAGCCCAGCCAGTTTCCTGCAATTCCAGCATGCATTTATCAAGTCATGCAAAAATTTACTGAATAAATAGCCAAGAAGGCTGTTGGCCAAGAAGGACCCGAACAAAGCAGCAATTTCAGTTTGGAGAAGCAAACAAACTGGGAAGGGACTGCCTTTTGTCTTGCAGTCATTACATCTAAACTTCCTCCTAAACAAAGTAATGCATGGGAATGTGCTGTGTCAGCCAGCAAATTGTATACATGTACCACCTACACCTCCAAATCAGTGCTCTCATCTCCCTGTACAACAGGGCTATGTAAACACAGCTTGCTAAGCCTTTTAGCATTTCTGCAGAGATCATTTCATTTGACACTCACATACAACAAACTGTTGGACCCTACGGTAGAGAACACTTCTGGGGAGGAAACAGTGATGGATGTCTTCTCCAACTGAAGGCACGATGGTTTAGGAAGATAAAATAAAACTACTGCAGGCTGGACAGCAAAATTCTGAAGTTTACAAAAGGAGTTATGGAGGCCAGCTCTTCAAAAGCCACATAAGTTCATGACCTTAGCTGTGTATTTCACCTAAAAAAACCCCACTGTGATGTCTCTGGAACAGATCTCCCTAGCAGGAGAGTGGGATATCACCACACCAGTAATTGCTGGAGGTTAGAAATCCTCCAACAGAAGACATTCCACTGCTCTGCAACTTTTTCCCAACTTATCCCCATTGTAGCAACTTCCAGCTCTCACCCAAGTACTGCAGATAGCCCAACCTGGTCACAGTAGGAAATGTGTGCACAAAGGAGTTGTGACAGCCCTTCACTGGTGTCTGAGACAAACTAGGTGAATGTCATCTCCCCTGTCTCTAGTGAATGACTTTGTGTGATGATTTAATCTTTTTGTTGTTGTTGTTGTTAAGTTCCTTCAAATGCAAGTGAGAAACTCAAGATCATAGGCCAAGCAGAGCACACATGTATCTCAGGAAAGAGATGGGCACATAACATTTGCATAGCAAGTGTGGTACCCTAGGGTAAAAAGCTTATGGCCATTTTCCAATCAAGAATCATAAAAAAGTATCCTTGAACCCTGGGGCCACCTCGCCTGTAGGTTTGTGGAAACGCCAGGTGTCTGTCTGGGCAGTATGTTGGGGAAGATGAAACAGGAAAGCCTTATAAATATGATTGCCTGGTAAAAGATTTTGAGAATATGGAAACTATAAGCGAGATTGAAATGAAAGCAAGCTTTCAGATACCTTAGTTACTGAACAACTGGAGAACAATGGTATGGCCAGCTGAAGGTAATCCCCTTTTGATGGAACAATACCCTCTG